TTTCATGGTAATTAACCTTGTTGTGAAGTTTGAAGTTAATCCGTTAATAATTACTCGAGATATCGAGCGGACACTGTTTCGGCAAGTCCATAAAGGGGCATAACTCCACAAATTATGGTCGGATAATGGCGGTTATCGAACTTGTCCGAGGTTTCATGGTAATTAACCTTGTTGTGAAGTTTGAAGTTAATCCGTTAATAATTACTCGAGATATCGAGCGGACACTGTTTCGGCAAGTCCATAAAGGGGCATAACTCCACAAATTATGGTCGGATAATGGCGGTTATCAAACTTGTCCGAGGTTTTATGGTAATTAACCTTGTTGTGAAGTTTGAAGTTAATCCGTTAATAATTACTTGAGATATCGAGCGGACATCGTTCGCCTGCCCACCCGCACGCCCGCCCGCACGCCCGCTCACGTGATAACATAATACGTCCCCGTCTTCGACGGGCGTATAAAAACAAAAAGCAAAAAGCAAGAGGCCCAGAGGCCCTGCATCACCGACCTGATATTTTAGTGACAATGGAATTAGTTATATGAAGCTGCCTCCAAGTATCATACATGGAAGTCAACACTTCCTTTTAGCTAACATTTACCTTTCTGGCTTCAAAAATGATTCATAGCAAATTTGTTTAAAAGCACTCAACCTTAATAACCAATTTTGACTTCCTCATTTCGGCCCTACCCCTCTGCCTCCATGGGGATTGATACAATAGTCAGTTCACTATGCCAAAGGATGCTGCTACCAAATTCAATTTTCATCCATACATAAGAAATCCTTGAAAAATACTTTATTTCCCCTATTGGACCCCGGCCTCAACTACCTTGGGACACTCGGGGACCAGGTGAGCTAAAACCTGGGGGTTAGCCTTGAAAACACATGTGCCACTCTGTACTCTTTTGCCAAAGTTTTATTTTATACAGGTATATATTAGGAAAATCAACTGAAGTCAATTTAAACTTATTCTCTTAAAATGTCTCAAAAATTCAGATTTTGGTCAAAAGTTGTAGCTCATAAGTTAGCAGAAATACAGAAACCTTTAGGCTTGACTCCTTAAAGTTGGTTATGTTATATCTAGTGCATTAACAAACATTCACATAGATTTTATAGTTCTGTACTTGCAATACCTTTTTCATGAAGGGCCTTAATGCTCTTGGTGAATGTTTGCAGGAAGATTCCACTATCTTGTTTTATCAATTCGATGACCAGGGGACTGTGGGCTTTGCACCCCCCCAGTTTGTCTCATTGGATTCCCTACATTAGTGAAGAGGAGGCAAGCATGTACCTCTGATCGATGAAGTTTCACAATCTGAAAAGTATTTCTGAAGAGAAAAAATAATAAATGCAGTTTCAGAAAAAAGGTACTTTTTGCTGGGAGAAAAATCAGCATCCAGATTCAATATTAAATTTGTTTAGTATTGTATTCTAAAAAGTATGTGAAAGGCTAGATTGACATGCTAATTGTAAATCACAACATTGATGGGCAAATTTTCAATTGCATAATCTTAATTGTAAATGGTAAATTTCATAATGTATTATTCTGCTCAGTGTGTATTGCAAATTATAATTTTACATTATGAAGTAATTGATTTGTTTCATACCCAAAAAGCATAGCTTCATAATCAGTTTTTTTCAAAACCAAATGGAACTCTGAGTAAGGAGGTTAGACATCAGCTGGACCAATGATAAGCTCCGAGGAAATTTATCAGCGCCAGCGTTAGTACAAACCTGATGTCAAGAAGAGAAATCTTGAGTTGTTGGTGGAACAGCAAAGGGAGCACGCAAACAGGTCAAAGTCTGCCAGGAAGTCTGACTACAGGAAAGGTCAACTTGATCCAACACTGCATCAAACCAGGGGAGACAATTAACCTCAGGACCACCTGTATTGAGAGAAGAAGAAAATGACATTTTATTTGAGGACTTTTTTGAAATCAAAGACAAAATTCCAAATTCAAGAAATATGTAACAAAATAAAATAAAAGTTACATATATATGACTACCTAAAGTGGGAACCTCCACGTGGAGGTAGTCGGACAATGTTGTATCTGTGTATACAATAGCTAATACCTCAATAATAGTTGTTTGTTGTTTTTTCAATCAAGCCACTTTCAATTCCAACATACAATTTCTAAAAACTACATGACCATAGCATGAATTTGAATTTAAGCAATATTGCCTGTTATTATTAATGAAATGATGCTCTAAACTAATGTGATTTACAGTTACACACAAACTAGTGTGGCACAAATGCGAGCAATCCATATCACTTCTAATATCTATTTTTTTTTCAAAAACCACGAATGAATGTCTATGAGTATGTTTTTTTTTCCATTTCAAATCCCTCGGATCTTGGAAACTAATCAGTCCATTCTTTGTTAACGGTCCCTGCCAGATTTTATATATTCCATTTTTCCTTAAACTGTAAGCAATTTGGAACTTGTTGGTGAAAACCGCATCATTTTAAGACACATGAAACAGAAGTTATGATGAATTTAAACAAGAGGCCCAATGGACCTGAATCGCTCACCTGGTATTAATCTCACACTTGTAATCTTAAACGTGGACTAAAATACAGCTACAGGCAGAATATCAGTGTTTGATTCATAAGAACCTATTAAAAGATTTAAACATATGACGCCTGTGACCTTGAATGTCGAACAAGGACATCAGGTTGAAAGTGGATCATAGGTCATTCATTTGATTAAACTTGGTAGTCCTTCACCCCAGCATGCTACAGGCCTAATTTCAGTACCCTGGGCCTTTTGGTTATTGAGAAGTTGTTTGAAGATTTTAAAACATTTGACCCCTGTGACCTTGAAAGCTGGTCAAGGTCATTCATTTGAACAAACTTGGTAGCCCTTCATCCCAGCATGATACAGGCCCAATATGAGTACCCTTGGGCATTTGGTTATTGAGAAGAAGTTGTTTGAAGATTTTAACATATTTGACCCCTGTGACCTTGAAAGTGGGTCAAGGTCATTTATTTTAATAAACCTGGTAGCCCTTCATAACAGCATGCTACTGGCCCAATACCAGTACCCTGGGCCTTTTGGTTATTGTGAAGAAGTTGTTTGAATATTTTAAGACATCGGACCCCAGTGACCTTGAAAGTGGGTCAAGGTCATTTATTTGGACAAACTTGGTAGCCCTTCATCCCAGCATGCTACAGGCCCAATATAAGTACTCTGGGCGTGTTGGTTATTGAGAAGAAATTGTTTGAAGATTTTAACATATTTGACCCCAGTGACCTTGAAAGTGAGTCAAAGTCATTCATTTGGACAAACTTGGTAGCCCTTCATCCCAGCATGCTACATGCCCAATATAGGTACCCTGGGCCTTTTGGTTATTGAGAGGAAGTTGTTTAAAGTAAAAAGTTGACGCCGGACAGACGGACGCCAGACGTCGCACCATAACATGAGCTCACTTGCCCTTCGGGCAGGTGAGCTAAAAACATGGCCAAGAAGACCAGACAGGTAGTGGAGGTTAACCACCTGAGAGGGGATGCTAATACGAGCACCATCGGAATAGCACTTGATGGGCGGTATAACAGTCTTACAGTGCCAAGTTCAGCAAATCCATGTTTCCTGGCCAAACCAGACTGATGAGAGCACATTCCCAGAAAATATTTTCTCAGGACCTGAAAGCCCAGAGCAGTCTGATCTTCAAGGACCTGATGAAACTACACAATGGAAACATGGACATTATAACAAAACGTTTACCTGCTGTGCTTGATGCGATTGTTTCGTGCTACTCCGGTGACTGCTCCAAATGCAAACAGCATTCTGTCGTGTGCTCTGGGGGTGACAGTAACAACTGGTGGACACGCTCATTGTTTGACAGATCAAAGTCTGTCAGGAAATGTGACAACAGGAAAGGTCAACTTGATCCAACACTGCATCGA